GAAGGAAATAGAGATTTTTATATTTAAACTATTCAACTTCATGAAAATTTGGATTTAGCAGGTTTTAAACTCTTTCGGTACCAAATTTCAGCATCATTACAAGCACACTATAAGGTAATAGTAAACAGAAAAGTTTTTGGCACTTCCCTCTCATTTTTCAATCATAATCAAACAAACTTCAAATTGCTGTAAATTCTAAACAGATAAAAAAAAAAAAAAAAGTTTTTTTATGGCATCTAAACGTTTGTACCAAGTTTCAGAAAAGTTGGTGATATATGATGCAGATTTGTTTGTTTTGTTTTTTAATTTATTTATTCGTTGGTTAATAAAATAACCATTATAATAATAGTCTTATATTTAAGTATAATATTTAAATTTAATTTAAATAAGTTATAATTTTATAAAGTTTAATTGATTTATTTTGTTTGTAATTAATAGACGCTATAGCAAGGAATATTTCTACACGCAGCTGTACGAGTAAACTTTGTGAGTGTGATATTCAAAAATAAATCTTTCACTATATTCATGGGTCAATTGATAAAGATGGTGGTCGTATGGTGAACGGATAATGGTCGATGGTTGATAAAGATGGTGGTCGATGGTTGTTAAGATGGTGGTCGTAAAGAACGAAAAGAAAGGAAGAAACTAACAAACAACGCTGATTAGCAATAATACGGATAATGAATCACCTTCTTCAAACGAAGAACAATCTTTTAAAAATTTATTTTTTGGCTGAAAAAATTGTTAAATAAGTTTAAAACATCTCTTGTTTTATGAAGTAATAATGTTGTTGTTAATATTTGCGGGTCCCAATTTTGCATTAACACAATTTTAGACAAATTGTGTTAATGCAAAATTGGGACCCGCAAATATTAACAACAACATTATATTAATATTAACTAGTACTATTAATTGAAAGGCTATTTAGTTTGCAATTGAGATGAACACCCAATAGAAGTGAATGTATTACTAATGGAGGAACACTAGGCAGATTTCTAATTATTGCTAATAATTCCCAAAGCCTGTTGGAAAGTTTATATACTTCTTTACTTGTTCAAACGCAAAAAACCGATGAGCAAAACTCAACTGCTCCATTAGCGGCACGCCGCTATTGGACCGGTAGCGTTGCCTACACCGGCCCTATATAGGTCCACTATATCATATTTACTGGGTTACCTATAACTAACTTAATTGAGACTAGATCAATACGATACCATCTTACTGACACTACGCCATTCACTTTTTGCTTCTTCACATTAACATTTTCTAGCTAAACAGCTGCAATTATATATATATATATATATATATATATATATATAATATATATATATATATATATATATATATATATATATATATATATATATATATATATATATATTATAGTGTATATAAATATATATATATATATATATGTATATATATATATATATATGTATGTATATATATATATATATATATATATATATATATATATATATATATATATATATATATATATATATATATACATATATATATATATATATATATATATATATATATATATATAAATATATATATTTATATATATATATATATATATATATATATATATATATATATATATATATATATATATATATATATATATATATAAATGATACAGTAGCTTAGAAACCTTCATCTTTTTCATTTAAAAACAAGCAAAAAAGTTTAAAAATAACTTTAGAAATTCAAACTTCATAACATTCAAAGAATATTTACTTAGTATAATAAGTACTTTAAGGTGGTACAACACCAAATAAATAAAAAAATGAAATAAATCTCCAAAATAAAAATGCTTTTAAATACAGTTTACTCAAATGATTTAAAAAAAAAAAAGCAAAAAAAAATTTTTTTTTAATTAGCATTAGGACCATAATGGCGGAAAAACTATTAAAAAATGCGTTTTTGGACTAAATTTCAAAACATAATATCTAAGGCTAGCCACATTATATGACCTGAAATTTTGTACACTTACTCTAAACACTATTTTATTCCATTTAACAGATAGATTTTCTAAATATCAAAGTAAATGAGGAGCTATGTAGTTTTTCCTTATATTTTATTTATTTTTTGACGTTTTTGAGAAATCTGACTAAAAAAAAAAAAATTACTGATCATAAAAAAAAATCCATCTGTTAAATGAATTTTATAGGTATTTCGAGCAAGTACTGAAAATTTCAAATCAAATGAACAATGCTAACTTAAGAAACTGTGTTTTGAAGTTTAAGCAAAAATAAAAAAACGCGAACTGAGATAAACAGCTTTGAAAAAATATTGTAAATATTTTTTCAAAGCTGTTTAATTAATTAATATTGTAAATATTGATATAATAATTACAATATTAATTTAAAATTCTCCTGAAACATAACTTTCATTACAATCTTTTGCTTTCTCCTTATCTAGGTGACCTTTTTTAATGGATCTAAGAGTTTTTCTTCTTTTTTTTCCCTTCTCTGATGACTTGCACCTCATTTGACTAATCCTTTTTTTATTTTTAGAAGTCGCTGAAATATTTGATACCTTACCATGTAAATCAAAATGTCTAAAAACACTAATAACACCCTTTGCACCATCATTGTATGCTAAAATAGCTGAATACGTTCCCATTTCCAGTGTTGATTTAGAAACAAAAACTCTTTTTGGTACACGAGCCGAAATAAGTCCATTAAGTGCCTTGTTAGCATTTTGTGTGTTTCCATGTAAACATTTTGATAACAATTCATCTGATTGTCATTTTATAATTATTGGTAGAATTAAATCTTTTATCCACAGAGGTATGGTAGATTCGGGTTTATAATTCTTTTGATTTAGAGCCCAGTATTTGCACCAACTATATTTTCCACGAGGACAAAACTGGTGGCGTGTGTAGGAATCAGAAAAATTGGTGAAATTGAAAAGTATGGCATAAACTGCTTTTTTCATTGAATACAAGTTTTCCACATTAGATCTGATTGCAAGACCATAGAAGCTTTGCATTGAATCAATGCAGTTTTCAGTGAGTTTACCTCTGCCTGATATTGGTTTTTTAGTACCGTTTTGGGCTTTGACAAGGTTTCGTAGACGTGTTCCTAACCGTTTTTGAACATGTCTAACACATTCCAGTATACAAATTATACAAAAATGTATAATTCCAGTATACATTTTTTTCTCAGCAGCAATTTTGTATACTAACATGGCAGTTTTATTTAACTTATTAAAGCCATTAGGCAACAAACAATAAAGATTCATACAGAAGAAAAAAGTTTTCATCGACTCATGGTCAGCACTATTTCTCGCAATCCGGTGACAGCTCGCAGGTTGATCTCATATGGTGATTCTAGAGATGAAAGTTCTTTTTTATAAATAGGAAATGCAGTATCAATAGGAAACTCATTTGTGTTTAAAGAATTCTTTGACTTTGGTGAAGTTCTACAATTTTTAGAAAAGTTACACTTTGTACACTTCAACTCAAGTAAATGACAAAAGCCCATGCGAGAATTAACGTTATCTTTGATTAACAAATTTCCAAAAAAGCAATTGGGGCAAACAGTGTGTGCAATTAATTTCTTTAAAAATAAAAAGTTAATAAGTATAAAATAGTCGTCAGAGTCACATTTATCCGAGCTGAACGATACATCTAACTTTCTTGAGCTAACACAAGAAATCTCATGATCTGCAGGTTTTGATTTAAGAATATCAGATGGTTTAAACCCATTCCATTTTCTGCTCTTCTTTCCAGTACTTTTTTGTTTATTTGGCATTTCTTTTAAATATATTTATATAATATATATATATAATATAAATCCAAAGGGTAAACAAACAAAACACTCCAAATCTTTCAAATCTGTTAGCTGTTACAAAACGTGTTTAGTGGTTACGAACAATGACTTTTAATTGAATTTCAATTCGGAAAACATAGATGTGACATCAAGCTTACAAAGCCTAAAGACTCCAGTAAAATTGAGATTATTTTTAGGGAGAAATTGCCCTAACAACTATGTTAAATATTTAGTATCTCCGTTGCTAAGGAAAAAAAGATACACAGTGTTCTAATAAAACGCTCATATCTAAAAAAAGATAAATTATTTAGCTCTAAAACTTTGGCTAAACGTTCTTTGATTAATTTGACACATATTTTATGCAAAATTGAAAAACTCAAAAAAATTTTTAGTTTTCTAGTTTTTTTGGTGTTGTACCACCTTAAAGAGCAAAATTTAGTTATTTATTTTTCCCAGGAAGAGGGAGGATAAAAAAGTATATATATTATATACACTATAATATATATATATAATTATATATATATATATATATATATATATATATATATATATATATATATATATATATATATATATATATATATATATATATATATATATATATATATATATATATACTCATATAGTGTCGCTTTAAGAGCATTTTAATGTAAAAAAAGTCTCTTACGACTACAATTTTAATTACTCGTCTCTTAAGCTGTTTTTGATTGTCGTCGAAATGTCAAAGCAATTAATTTATGCGGAAGTACATTAAATTTAATTGTTTTTTAACAAATTTTTAAAAAACCGCAATTATAACGACTAGAAAGTTTTTTTTAATTAGTGGTGTTTTTGTTATTGATTTAATAAAAAACATTTTTTAAACATGCGTAAATGTTGCTACATCGACTATCTTATAGCTTGACTCGCAACGGAGTGCTGCTACATCGACTGACAAATAGCCTGACTCGCAACGGAGTGCTGCTACATCGACTGACAAATAGCCTGACTCGCAACAGAGTGCTGCTACATCGACTGACAAATAGCCTGACTCGCAAGGGAATGCTGCTACATCGACTGACAAATAGCCTGACTCGCAAGGGAGTGCTGCTACAACGACTGACAAATAGCCTGACTCGCAAGAGAGTGCTGCTACATCGACTGAGGGTTTGGTTTGGCCAGGCAGTCTATCAATTAAAAAAAAAAATTTAATTTTTAAATTTTTTTCTGGTCTGG